TGGCCACGCCCCCTGCGCGCTGTGACTGGCTGTCTCTAAGCCACGCCCCTCCTCGTGCTCCTTTCCCCCCGTAGCCACGCCCCCGAGCGCTGTGACTGGCTGTCTCTAAGCCACGCCCCTCCTCGTGCTGCTTTCCCCTCATAGCCACGCCCCCTTGCGCTGTGACTGGCTGTCTCTAAGCAACGCCCCTTCTCGTGCTGCTCTCCCCCCGTAGCCACGCCCCCGCGCGCTGTGACTGGCTGTCTCTAAGCCACGCCCCCTCCCTCCGCAGGCGGCGCAGGCGCACTGGCCCACGCGCTGCGCCTGCGCTTCCCGCGCCTGGAGCTGACGGTGCTGGACTCGCCCGACGTCCTGGCGCGCCTGCAGCCTCCACTTCCGGGGCCGCCGGGGACCACGCCCATCCGCTTCCTGTCTGGTGAGGGGGGGCGGGGCTGCGGGAGGGCGGGAGGGGGCGTGCGCGGGTTTGCGCGCGTTTTTGCACGCCCGTGGTTGCACTTGCACGGATTTGCACGCGCGTGCATGCGTTTGCACGGATTTGCAAACATGTGCATGCGTTTGCACGCGCGTGCATGCATTTACAAGGATTTGCAAACATGTGCATGCGTTTGCACGGATTTGCACGCGTGTGCATGCATTTACACGGATTTGCAAACATGTGCATGCGTTTGCACGGATTTGCAAACATAGGCATGCATTTGCACGGATTTTGCACACGTGTGGTTGCATTTGCACGGATTTAGCACATGTATGCATGCGTTTGCACGGATTTGCACGCGTGTGCATGCATTTGCACGGATTTTGCACATGTATGCATGCGTTTGCACGGATTTTGCACACCTGTGGCTGCATTTGCACGGGTTTTGCACATGTATGCATGCATTTGCACGCGTGTGGTGGCATTTGCACGATGTTGCACGCTGGGGTTTGCTTTTGCACGCGTTTGGTGGTGTGTGCACGCGCGTGCGTGGAGTTGCATGCTTTGCTTGCGTTTACAGGGGTTTGCATGCCTTGCTGGCATTTGCACGGCTCGCATGTGTGCGTGTGCATTGTCACGCCTGGCTTGCGTTTGCACGGGTCTGCACTCATTCCTTGCATTTGCACGTCCTGCTGGCATTTGCACGATTTTGAATGCCTTGCTTGCACTTGCACGGATTTGCACGTGTGTGTGCGCACTTGCATGGATTTGCACGTGTGCGCGTGCATTTGCACGGGTTTTCACGAGTGCGTGCATTTGCATGCTTTTGCACGTGTGTGTATATTTGCACGCATGTGCGTTCATTTGCACGGATTTTGCACACCTGTGGTTGCATTTGCACGGAATTCGCACATGTATGCATGCATTTGCACGCGTGTGGCTGCATTTGCAAGGATTTTCATGTCTTTGCACGGGTTGGCACGCGTGTGTGTGCATTTGCACGGGTTTGCCCGCGTGTGCGTGCATTTGCACGGGTTTGCACACGTGTGGTTGCACTTGCACGGAATTCGCACATGTATGCATGCATTTGCACGCTTGTGGTTGCATTTGCACGGATTTTCGTGTCATTTGCATGGGTTTGCACACCTGTGCGTGCATTTGCTCGGGTTTGCTCGCGTGTGCGTGCATTTGCACGGTTTTGCACGCGCGTGCATGCATTTGCACGGGTTTGCACGCGCGTGCGTGCATTTGCACAGGTTTGCACACCTGTGCGTGCATTTGCACTGGTTTGCACGCGTGTGCATGCATTTGCACGGGTTTGCACGCGTGTGGTTGCACTTGCACGGAATTTGCACATGTATGCATGCATTTGCACGCTTGTGGTTGCATTTGCACGGATTTTCGTGTCATTTGCACGCGTTTGCACGCGTTTGCGTGCATTTGCACGGGTTTTGCAAGCGTGTGCGTGCATTTGCACGGGTTTTGCAAGCGTGTGCGTGCATTTGCACGGGTTTTGCACGCGTGTGCGTGCTTTAGCACGGTTTTGCACGCGTGTGCATGCATTTGCACGGTTTTGCACGCGCGTGCGTGCATTTGTACAGGTTTGCCCACCTGTGCGTGCATTTGCACTGGTTTGCACGCGTGTGCATGCATTTGCACGGGTTTGCACGCGTGTGCATGCATTTGCACGGGTTTGCACGCGTGTGCATGCATTTGCACGCTTTGTACACCTCTGTTTGCATTTGCACGGGTTTTGCGCGCGTGTGCATGCATTTGCACGGATTTGCACGCGCGCCCCGCGCTCAGCCCCCCTCCCTCCCTCCTTCCCCCCCCCAGCTGACCTCTGGCACGACCCCCTCCCCGAGGCCGAGCTGTACATCGTGGGCCCCGGGCTGCTGCAACGCGTGGCCGCGGCCTGCAGAGCCGGTGAGTGACGGCCGGGGACATCCGGGTCCCTGTGCACGCGGGACATCCGGGTCCCCGCGCACCCCGTGCATCCGGGTCTCTGTGTCGCAGGCTCCGCGCTGCTGCTGCTGCTGCTGCTGGAGGCCGAGGACGGCGGCGCCGGGCGGAAGCTGCGGCGTCTGGGCTTCACGGCGGTGACGGAGGCCGGCGCG